CTCTCTCCCTGTCTCTGAGTCTCCGTCTCTTCGCGGCCAAGCGATAACCCGTGCGTCTGTTGAAGAGTGGCCTCCATTTTGCGCAGCAACCGCTGCGCCTGAGCTCGCCGATCTATGGGGGCAGGAATCATCGYCGATGSTRTGCCCTGTGCTCGCTGCCCTTGCGGCCCGAGTCGTGTCCTCGGTCTCACTCGTCGCCCTCCTCCATCATCTCCATCTGCCGCCCGTGGTTTGGGTACGCAATCGGAGTCCCCTGCATCATCAGTGCCTGTGGTCTCTCCCGGGGCGACATCTGTGCTGTCGTCGTGGACGATAAGTACACTGCCGCGTCTCTTCTGACCTGCCACTGCATTCCCTTTGCCCTCCCTGCCGACGATATCCGTCGTCGTTGCATCCCTCCCTCCAACATCCAATGCGTCGCCGTCAGGTGCAATCTCGAGATGCACAACGCCCGATCCTCTCTCTCGGGAACGCATATGTGAGGATGAACGTGACGCCTTCCTTGCCAAGGCCTTCTTCCTTGCCCGAGAAAGACTCGCCTTTGCGGCTCTCGTAGCATGGACATCAGACGTCTTCGTCGGCAAAGCACTCCCGTGTCGGTCCTCAAACTCTGTCATGGCGGTGTGCCGAGCACCATCCACACTCCCAATGGATCGTTTCCCCATAGACGGTGCTGATGGCCTGCCAACATTCCGGACTCCCTGCTCATCCATCCCCCAGTACTCTTCCCGCTGGCATAGAATGCCACTGTCGGCAAAACAGTGGCTCTGTCGCGCCGTGCTGTCGCCGATGACCCAACCACAAGCAATTCTGTCGCGTCAGCGCCACTGTTTGTGACGGGGACGCCCGCATCTGCGCCGACAGCCGCGGCAATCGGATGATGCTCTGAGTTTGACGGCGGACTTGGGGGTCTTGCTTCTCTTTCGAGTGTGTCAACTGGCCCACCAGGAGACCCTTCCTCTGCGTCGTCAAACGAATGAGAAAGACTCCGTTGTGCGATGCTGCGCTGACCGTCGCGGCGGTATCGCGTCGCCGTCTCTGCCAAACCAAGGGCCACCTCACGTAGTTTGCCAACACGAAAAATTGTGGGCGTGGCAGACACCATTGGGCTCGTAATCATATCGACGATATCGCATCCTGCCACGTCAAACCCATTCGATCCATGCTCCATGACAACAGGCTGTTGTGGCTTGGGCGGTGACACATGGGGTAGACCTGGGGATATCAACGTCGACAAGTCCGGTAGAGAAACGAGCGCAGAGTCCATGGTCAGTAACTCGCCGGTACCCGGAAGACTGCCGGTGGGGCATGCGAGGCCGACATGGTCTGCGGCGCTCTGCTCGGCTACGGGAGTGTGTGAGATATCACGTTCCGGGAGATCGTCGCCTTGACACACAACAACGGTCCCCTGACTCCCCTCCATCAATGCAGGCGGTGGCAGCGGTCGACAGGGGCGGCGGAACGACGTCATCGGGAAAACGAAGAGGTGGCCATTGAAAAGAGGGATGACCTAGAAGGAGACTCTGCAAGGCCTGCACGGCAGAAGCCAAATGTGCAGGACACTTGGACATATCCGTTGACCAAATGTGCAGGACACTTGGACACACCGCCGGAGTGGCCACGTGGCATCTATACCCCTCGCCACGAAAAAAGTGTTCCTTCGCCTCACGAACACCCCCACATAGAAAACGACCGCATAACCTGCACAAACAACGGCGACCGTTCTTCCTCCCGACCGCAGTGGATCCATCTAAATAACGACCACGAGCAACGAAATGCCAAACAGGATCATCTCGTTTTCCATCGGTCTTTGGATCCACCTTAAAAGGGGAGTCAAAGGTCTTCGTCTTGTGACCTTTTCTACTACCCTCCGCCCTTTTCCCCGTTGCCGAGGAGGACTCCGCGGGGCCCTTCCCGTTATTGCCTCGAGGGTCAGACATGTTGTGGAGACCGAATGAAATCCGCAGAAGGGGTGAACTGAAACGAACTTCGACGCCAACGACAAAGAACTGCACCGAAGTTACTGAACAACCGACGAATCAACCTGT